GGCAGGGCCTGGGCAGATCGGGCTACCCGTCCTTCGCGGGGCTTGCACCTGAGCCTCGATCGCAGTCGGACTGGGTGCTCTCTCGCCTTTCCTAGGACTTGGCTTCAGCGTAGCGACTGCATGAAAGCAGCTGTACTGTAGGGTGGCACGGATGGACGCCCTCTGAGGCCATCCTGTACAAGCTCCTTTTTGCCCACCGCCTCACCATCTGCTAGAAGCCAGCAGGTTTCAGCCTTACGGAGAGCTCTGAGTCATTGTATGTGGTGGGTTTTTTTCTCTTGAAGTGGCATCCATGCCAAAACAGCAGAGTAAGGTTTAGGGAAGTGTGAGGTAGCAGGCATGTGTCATCTGAAATCTAGGAAGGTGTTTGCCAAAGCCGTGACAGGTGTGGAGTGTAGCGACAACAGAAATATTTCCATAAATTAAAGTTGTGTGGGGAAATTTCTAACTTGAACATTTCAAGTATAACTAGGCACTGTAGTGTTCAAATATGAGCCCAAAATTGACTTGAATTTTCACATTTCTTCATTAGGAATGATAGTAAAGGGAGGATTTAAGGACTGGGGGGTTTGAGCTAGGTTTTTTCATACAGCTATCTAGCTGAATTTAGAAATGAAATGTCATAGGGACTTAGCATCTAAGGGCAGGGACATCTAAGGAATGTGCTAGTGCTGTGCAAATTTTATTCACTTCCTAATTGACAGCCTACTGTGAGTCAGTATTAAACTAACATCTCAAAATAGTGCTAGAAGGCACTGCTACTGGAATTGTCTGTGGAATAGTACCTTCATAAAAGCAAAACAATAAATCTAATAGAGCATACTAAATGTTTTGGCTGCTTGTCATTAAATATTGTAGCCTTCTGTGCGTCTCTATATGTGATATTTGGGATGTCTAGGCAGATTGCTGCAATAGAGAAGAGTACTTGGCTATATAATTTCAATTATATGCTTATTATTACTTTACTATTTAATGTAAAGTGATTGTGCAGAGTAGTAGACATCGGAATAGGAACCTCTGACGCTGAATGGAACTTTTTTGTTTCTGCTTTTGGAAAAAAGGATTCTACACAAATGCCTTTTAAGTACAGTTAATCACTGATTATGTTGTATTTAAATTAAATGCTTATTTAGTTTTTTTAGTGATATTTTTTTCTCCTTGACTTTTTTTCAGTACCCCAAGTGTGAACATAAAATATGATTCTTTGCGTACTGCACCAAACTTTGTAACTACTTCTTTTGCCATTTGGTCACCTGGCTTCAACTACAATGGTAAGTTATGATTCAAACAGTATATTTTCAGATCTTTTCACTCTAGTCTGCTAGCTGTCCGTCTGAAGAGGAGAATGCCGTTAATGTTTTTCACTTTCTAAAAATAAAATTAAAAAAAAATAAAAATTTGCTTGTCACTCCTGAATCCTGATACTTCTTTTTTAGGGATGTCTTCCTTCATAGCTTGTAAATGCTTCTAACCACTTAGTCACTGTCCAGTGCATCACAGGCATTATCATACAGAACTTGTGATGTGTTTCAATCATGACTGCTGTTGAGTACAAAGTATAAATCCTGCCTCCACATAGTATTCTTCTTTTCACAGGTGATAATGTTGCCATGGACTTTTGCCTAATGTAAAGCAGTCAGTGAACTGAATGTCTGAAATTAGACATAAATAGAAAGCATGGGTATTTGACACATTCATATAAACACTCAAACACTTCGAAATTTTAATATTCTGCAGTGGTAGGTTCTAATGAGTGACAGCATGCCATTAAGTGCTTTTTTCAAAAATAAGTAAGAAATTTTGTCTTGGAGACACTGTAGGTGAATGGTAAAAAGCCCAAGTATTTATTTGTTATTACTACGGTATGCTTTTCTCCCCTGAATTCACTTTTAATGTATGAAATAATTATTACTGCCATGTACTGGACATGCCTTATATACCTTCTTTTCTGGAGGTTTGAGTAAAAGCACTTGCTTTCATGAACAGCTGATATGGATAGTTTAAAGTGAGGAAACACTACAAATATGTATGTGAGGAAGAGTACCAATTACAAGTATATCTAAGCTTTACTGAAGAGTGGAAGACTCCAAAATACTTCTCTATATTTTTTGTGTAGTGTAACCTAGTTTTTCTACTTATAATCTCTAATTGTTTTGGTTAATATTTGTTACTACTTTTTTAGGTGCAATTTCTATTCCTACTTCTAATTGCCTTTTATAGCTCTAAGACTTCAAAATTCAGTAGAAACCTTGCAAGTGTAGACACCTGGTACTTGGATTAGTTACTGTTGCTGCAGTTACATGTCAAAGAATGTTTAAGCCCATCTTTTAACTATAAAATCTTATCAGTAGTAATGGAGTTTTTGTAGTGGTTTTTAAGTCTATGAGGATGTTTAAACAGTTAATGTACTTTGTAAAAAGAACTTCTGTAATTCTTACAGCAACAAGCTTTAGAACTGGCATTGGATCGTGCAGAGGTAAGGAATAGCTAAGTTATTTGCACATAATACATTGGTCTCACAGCTAAAAAAGCTATTATATTTTTATATTTATTCTGAAAAGCAATAGAGGAGCATGTTATGTAAATATGTACACACACATATATAGATATAAAATTATCCATACTTGTAACGCTGGTCTTGCAAGATTCCCTCTAAAATTGCTGTGTTGCACGTTTGTCTCTTACCTGTTGCACTGAGAACATTATCAGGTGCAGTCATGATAGACGACACAGGACTTTGTTTTTCCCCTTTTAAACCAGTGAATCTGTGTGTTGTGAAATACGCAGAGCCGTACAGTGGTGATCCAGAGACAGCTGGTAGAAATACGTGGCAAAATCCTGCTTGTGTTTTAAGGGTAGCTGTGTTAGAAAGAAGGCAAGTGCATTCACATTTATGTTCTTTCATGCTGACATCTAATACGATGGTTACCTTGAACCTTATTATCAGAAATACTTGGGAAAACCTCTCTTCATTGAAATTCTTAACTACACTGTTAATCAAAATACTTCGAACAGTAGAGATTTGGAAAACTATTGTTAGAATATAAGCTACATTTAATGTAGTTTATCTGTCTTCATTTTTGATTCAAATATTTCATGTACATGTACTATATTTATAATATACAGCCGTATAGAAAAAACTAGTGCAAATGAAAGAAACAAGGGGAAAATTAACTTCCTGAAGTTGGTTACATTGAGGACTACTTGATTTGTAAATATTGTTGAGCCAGGACGCGTGAATTTAATTGTATTTTAGCCTGTTAACTTCAGTATGTTACCATGTTAACTTCAGTAGTGTTATTTACTACTGTAATTACAAAACATGAATATAAAAGCAAAGTTTTGCATGCAACACATTTTATAGCCGTGAAATGCTGTGTTTCACAGTTAAACTGAGAAATGTCTTTGTTGATAACTATAACATACGCCAAATCATGTTTAGTACACTTTTGAGCCAGTCATGTACTGCTACTGGTAATTACTTTATCCATAGAACACCATCTCGTAATGATTTAAAGATGCATGGTAGCTAGAATTACATTTCTTTGTGATACACATGTTATTTTTTTGTTTACTTTTTTAGTATATCATTGAAAGTGCCCGTCAGAGACCTCCCAAAAGAAAATATTTATCCAGTGGAAGGTAGTAAGAGTTTCAGTATTTGGCTTTTAAATAGCATTTCTTTGATTTAATTTTTGTTACATTTCAAGCTTTTTTAATTTCAGAAAATCTGTATTTCAAAAACTCTATGATTTATATATAGAAGAATGTGAAAAAGAGCCTGAGATAAAGGTAAGTGGAAATTGCAAAGAAGCTTTTAATTGCTGTCTGAACAGGCAAGTTCACAAGATACTTTTTTTTTAAAAAATAACTTAATTCCTTGGTTAAATAAAGAATAAATTCTGTTTACTGTTGTAGTTACCTAAGGCTAAGACTACAGGAGAAATTGCTGTTATGACTTTTGTGGACTGTGTATCATAGTTCAAAAAACAAAGTGACAGGAGGGCAGTGACTACCTGGTAACCCTAAATCTGTTTTTAAACATAATGAAGTAGAATGCTTGCAGAGGATTATAAAGATTTAATTCTCGAGATGCTATTCTATAATGAAAACAATTTCAAAAGTATTGTCTAGAATGGAGAGGTGTATCTAACAAGTTTATTAGGTAACAGTAGTATTAAAATAACTGAGTGATGCAATACAAATTGTAAGGCCTAGACTGGCTTGAGTAACTTACTCATTCTGACGTAATCCTGTGTCACTGAAATTGGTTGGAGTCAAGTTCAGGGCCAGCGTCAGTGCCACGTGCATTGTTGTCAGTATCATTGTTTCAGAATCAACTGCTTAGCATGACTGCTATGGGGAAAAAATGCAGAGAATTTTTTAGAATCTATGCTATGTTGTAAACTCAGTTTTACTTCTTGAATCCCTGATGAACTGTTAAGATGTTTTGTGAGTATTTTTTTCATAATGTTAGCGAAGAACCTCAAACAGGCTTAGCAACAGTAGATCTGAGGTGTAAAAGGCACAAGCTACGTTGCTAAACTGTTCAAATGGAGTGAGAAGAACAAGCTGTGGAATCTGCTGTGTTGCTGCTTCCCAAGGAAGTGAAAACCAATGAGAAGACAAATGGGAATGACATCTTAGTTACTGAGGATCTGTAACTCTTTCTGGTGACTCTGATGTAGTTGGTTTTATTTACCATATGATGCTGTTTCAAATCACAAACCTGAGTCAGGTGTTAAGCAAATTACAAGCTTGAAAAGATTAAGACCTCAGTAGTGAATAGGTACAAAATGTTTCAGCAGCCGGGAGGAGATCAGGCTTTCTAGACTGGAATTTGGAAAAATAGTAGGATTTTAATGCAGTATTTATTACTAAACTAGAAGGTACTCAGCAAACTTACCCAACTATAATAAAATCAAATTACTGAAAAGTTATAACTTCACGGTTGATGGATTATTGCTGATCTAGATTTGAGTGAAAAATTGAGTTCTTCTTTATTGAAGGCTTGGAAGCATGTTATGATAGAAAAATTTTTATTTAGAGCCGTTATTTATGTGGATAGTTAATAGATATCTTGGTCTTGTTATGGAATGTAATTATTGAACATGAGAAATTCAAAGATTGGGGTGCGAAAGTTAGAAGATAATCATAGAATACCAGGTTGGAAGGGATGGCAAGGTTCATCTAGCCCAACCTCTCAAGGTAAAAGTATAGTTTAAATGAGATGAATCAGCACTCTGTCAAGCTGACTCTTAAAACTGACCAATTGTGAAATATCATCCATGAGCTTAGGACTGTTTATTTATCTCTTAATTTACACTGAATAAAACTGAAGGAGGAAATCGTATTCTGACTAGAACTTGGCCAGTGACTTGAATGTAGCTTAAAGATTTTAGTGTACAGAACTGTCAAAGTTTCTATCCCAGTACTGCACCATTCTGATAGTACAAGTTACAATTCTGTTGTCCACTCAGAAACAATTTTTAAATTGATGCTTAGTATTATTTATCAGTCTTAACTCTCTCCCTTTATCGTAGCTTTTTTAATACTGCATCTCTCCCGTGTTCCTGTTTTCTACTCTGTAGTTTACTTGGTCACTCATATCCTTGTTCTTGGTGTTCTTCATAGGGAAGATCAGATTTTCCACAGTAATTCACAAAGGACTAATCACAAAGGGTTAATTACCCTCTATAAGTCCAGTCTGCCCAGCTTCATTACTTCTCAGTGTCTCCTTTATTTGTGCATATGCACACTAGAGAGAGAATTGTGTTGAAGTGATTATCTAGAGCAATTTGTTTTATTTGGAGTGCAGTGTGCAGCATTACTGTTCCTAAAAGTTGAAAGAAATACAAATCAAAACAATAATTTTGGAAGCAGTGTTAAACACAAATGGGGAGGGACACCACAAAAAAACCCAAACTGAAAATCGCTGATCAATTGCCTATTCTCAGTTAGTTCCTTCTGGAAGCTGCATGTGGTTGCATCAGTGTGCAGGCATGGAAGCATCTCAGAGTAAAGAGAGTTTCAGAACACTGTTAATGAAAGTCTCTTGAGTTCCACATTGGAGTAATGCAAAATTAACAAGGCACATAGAAGCACTTGTAAGACAAAGCAGCAGATAAGAAGTACACTGGTGGCTGTGGGGAATGAGTAATTAGGATATATGAATAAACCAAATGGTGCCAGATAATAGTGGGGCTTTTTGTTTGTTTTGGTGGGTTTTTTTGTCCTTGATTAATCTCTAATGGTGATGAATGATATGTAGGGCTGGATGTATTTGAGAAATTGTGTAAGACATCATGCATCTTTCTGTTCTTAAAGAAAATATGACTAACTGGCACGTGTAAGGTAAGGAAACAGTTGACTTGAAGAATGCACATTGAGGCAAAGCTAGACTCAGGGTGAAACAAGGAGACTTTGTTCAGACCATGGTGTACCTGAAGTCTGATCTGGAAAAGCTTACCTTAGGTGTTAACTTAGGAAACTGAAATGTTTTCTTGCCTTCACTACAGCAGCTGCATGGCCCTTGTCTTTAAGAGCTGTATTAATAATAATCTTTACTGGAATGGTTGCCTGGCACAGCCAGTTACATTGTAATAGAAGTGTACTTAGTTATGAGTTGCAGTCTTCTCTCAGGATCTGATTCTGTTTCAGCTAGGTCACAAACATCTTTAGGCCTCATTTTATTCTTTGTATTTTGTAACAAAAAAATGATGCTTCCTCAAGTTATTTTATTGAGTTGGGTTTTGATTTTCAGTCAGTATATACAAAATTCCACCTTGATTTTTCTGCTTCCTGAAAGAACATTGCCTAGCATTGCTCAGGGTGTTAATTTTCAAATAGTTAATAGTTCTGTTGAAGTTGAGACAAGATTGTACTTTCCAAGGTGCATCTTCTATGCATTCGTAAAGTGGTGCTGGGATTAATGAAACATGCCCAAAGTCAGAGGAAGAACCTGAGGTGGTTATTTTAGATTTCCATTTCACAGACATATAGTAAATAGCTACAAAAGTGGTTTTTTTAATGGAGCTAATCTGTTTATTTTAAGTGTTTTGATCAACTTTTTAGTCATAAGGATAAGTGGGAAAATCAATTTAAGATGCTATGGAGAGGGACAAGAAAAGCAGTCATGATAAAATAAAAATCATAATTTTGTGTAACACCAATGTTCTGCTGGAGGAGTTGGTATTAAAATTGAGATTTTGCTCATAGCCAAGGATGAGAGAGTAACAAAGTATAAAATCACTACTTCAGTCTTGTTAAGGAGTGCTCAGTATTCTTTTTTCCAGTGGTAGTCATCAGAAGTCACTGGAAGCGAAAGGAAGCACCTGTACCTGCTCTGTGCTGCTTCCCAGCCACCATGCAATCACTGTGGTGTGTTTTCAAGAGGGAGAGGTGCTGCTTTTCTGTGGTGAAGTCAGGGTGAGGAGTTTTAGCTGATGTAGCAGAGCAGTATAACTGGCCTGGTTGCTTGCTGTCTGAACTCTTGCAATATACAGTGATGAATGCTTAAGAAATGTTATTACACCTCAGGCCACTCCTTGATCTTCAAAATCTTTCCAGACAAGACCTGAGCTGATGCTTAGTATTGGTTCTGAGCTAGTATCTCTAATAGCCAGCTGAAGGGAAAAAGCTGATTTTTGTAGTCATAAAGGATATTCATGCTTAGTGTAATGTAACTTTACCTGCTTATTGAAAAGTTTGTACTTAAAATGCTAATTTCCTCTAGTGTCTTGGAGAGGCTTTGTATTTTAAAATGTGCTTAGAATGTCTTAAGAAACTCAGGTCACATGAATGTAGTGTCAAAAATGTTCTTAGGCCTGTGTGATTGTCCTCTCCTCTTTACCTGTCTTCCTGCCTCAACATCATAACCTCCAAACCAGTGAACAGCAACAACAACAACAACAAAAAAGCCCAAGCCACAACTAGCCAACTATTATTGAACAAAACCTATAAGTTAAAAAGTAAAACTAACTACACCTCAGGCTGCTTCATACTGTGTCTAAGTGAAAGCCCAATAACTATCCCTTTCTCAGTGATGCATCTGAAAAATTGAAGACTGCATGTTCAGTCTCCTGTTCAGGGGTAGATATTGGAGTGGTTAATAGGAGTTTTAACTGCAGAAGGTTTTGCATAACAGGCTACTTCTCTAGAGTCCTCTGTGAGGAACTGGCTTTCCTGAACAGTCTCTACTTCTGTTGTTGCCATGACATATTTTCCCCCATTCTCCCCTGCTCCTCCATTTTTTTCCCCATCAATTCTCCGGTGTCTGTGTGCTAATTTGTCATTTTCTTGTGTTAGTTTCCATGGTTTCTAAACTGTAAAAAACAGTAATATGTAGTCG